CACAATGACATATTTATGTTATCCTGAACTGAGGAGAAGGGAGTGGGGGTCTGGGACTTCAAAGGGAAAGAAAACAATTCACAGGAAGTTGAGAAAGAGTGAATGTTTTATTAGCAAATTTATTAGCAAATTTATTGCTGGACCATACAGAAACAATGGGAGGTAGAGAGGAATTTTAGCAAACAGACTTTTCTAAAATTCCTCCCTGTCTACTATTCCTAGTTCATATTATAATGTAGTTATCTATGGTGATAGTTTTCTTCTTGGAACAAGTATTCTATCTAAATTCTTTTTAGGCATTTAGAAGGAAAGTCAAAATTTCTTCCTGAGTATTTTGGGCCTTGATTGTTTCAGCTCAAAATAATCTGCATGCTGGAGTGGTACATCTTGGGGCAACTGGCTTTTGGCTTCCATACCATCAAGATAACAAATGCTAGGGGAGTATGGTTTCCACCTTGTGTTTGCAGGCCTGACTCACCCAGCAGGAAACTGTGGCAGTCTTTCCCTGTATTCCCACAGTGAGATTTTTGTTATGGTTTAACTTTTGTAGTTTGTGTTATGACGGTAGTTAATGTTTATTTTCTTTCTCAAAAGAACCACTGCACAGGCAGTAGGCTCTGATGTCCAGAGGTTCAGCTCTCAATCCCTCATAATCCAGGGAGGCAAACATTATGAACTGGGAGAGTCCTCTGGACTGGATCCTTTGTAGACAGAGTCAGGGTGAGACTTCAAAGAAATGAATCTCTCAGGACTGAGCTGACTTTGGCCTCAGAGCTCGAGATCTCCAAAAATCATATAAGCAGTCTAGAAGAACGATTTGAGTAAAATAGTTCTTCTCTGTCAATTTGCTTATAGAGACAAGAAGGGACCCAGAATGGGGCCCCTAAAAAAGCCTCAAAAAAAACCCCCACATTTTCTAAGGGCCAATTTTAAGAACAGACTGATTAAATGGGGAGTCGTGGTAGCTGTGAGTAGACACACAAACTGGCTTACCTGTGGCAGAGCACAGAGGAAAGAAGTAGCCTCCATAAAAGCCGAGTAAAACACAAAAGCAGGGCACCTGGATGGCTCAGTTGGGCATCCAACTCTAGATTTCAGCTCAGGTCATGATCTCACAGTCAGAGATCGAGTTCTGCACTGGGCAGGGAGCCTGCTTAAGATTCTCTCTCCCTCTCCCTCTGCCCCTTCCCAGCCCATGATCTCACTCTCTCTCAGAAAGAAAGAAAGAAAGAAAGAAAGAAAGAAAGAAAGAAAGAAAAGAAAAGGCATAAGAATTGACTAGCTAAGCTTTTAACAAGCATTAAAAACCAAGTGAGGACTCAAGTGTCAGTAGGAAAGAAATGAGGGCCTCAGACCTAATAGTATTTTGTACTTGCTTACAACCTGTATTCCAGAGATCTCTACCCAGAGCTAATGAGAAAGATCAGAAGCAAGGCGGACCCACCCTCCACCCCAAGGCCTTGCAGACTTGCAAGACCTGATCGGCAGCTGCTGAAAAAAGACACACAGCCCCCCTTACTTTCTTTGACCTTTTTTCCTCTAAAGCAAATGCTTTACATTTCTGGGAGAAGGGCAGAAAATCCTGACCATAGGACACAAAGTCCTATTGTGGCTGGGATAAGGATAAGTAAAACAACAATTTTTTACAAATCTGTACTTCTGAGGTGTCCGGGTGGCTTGGTCGATGGAGCATCCGACTTCCGCTCAGGTCACGATCTCGAGTTTCATGAGTTGGAGCCCCGCGTCGCGTCGGGCTCTGTGCTGGCAGCTCAGAGCCTGGAGCCTGTTTCAGCTTCTGTGTCTCCCTCGCTCTCTGCCCCTCCCCTACTCACACTCTGTCTCTCTCTCTTTCTCTCAAAAATAAACATTAAACATTTTTTTTTTCTTAAATCTTTGCTGCTTTGAGAAGGCCAAAAACTATCTCCTAAGACTAGCCCTAGAACGAGGCAGAAATCCACAGAAAGGAGGGGCAGGCATACTGAAAGTGGCCCAGGCATTCTCAGACAGGCTCAGATTGCAGTTGAACCAGGAAAACAGAGACTCATAACCACAAATTCAGCACCAAATGATAAGCAGCAGCATTATCATGCTGACAGAGGACTGAAGGGGAGCAGAATATGGCTCCCTAAAATAAGTGTCTTTGGAATAAGGGTTGTTTTAAGCTGGTCATTTTTAAGACACAGCAGACATAGGAAAAGCTCTGAAAATTGAGTACATACATTCATAAGGGAAATTTCCATTTGTAAGGGGGTCTCCCTCTGTGTACCAGGAAGAAGATGACTAAAATCTCTAGAAAGTCTTACAGTGGACAAGGCAACGACTTAAATCTGTACAACAACCTTACCCTTGTTGATTATGCTTTTTCTGGTAACTGCCGCCCTCTCCCTGCAATGTCTTCTTTTGTCTTTCGCTGGGGATGGTATTTAAGGTGGTGGTTTGAGCCTGTTTGGAGAAGAGTCACTCAGTTTGCCTGGGAATCTCCCATGTATACAAGAGGCAAGCATGCTATTAAATTCTGTTTTTCTTTAATCTTGTCTTACAGGGCAGTCTTAGCCAAGAATCCAGATAGGTAGAGGGAAAATTGGTTTTCCTCCGCCACATTAGAGTATAAGCTTGGAGAGAGACCTGGTTGTGCAGGAATACAGGGATGTCTAGTAGCTGGGAAGAGGGCATGGACAGAAAGAGAAACCCTCCCTGACACAAGAAAACAACATTCCATCACTGGAGGAGTGTGAAGCCTCCTGCACATGGAAAGTAACAATAGCAACAATAGCAACAATAAAATGTAACCTGTCACAATGTCCGACTAGATTGCCTCAGCCCCTCACAATGACAGTCTCACTCAAAAAGAAGCACCAGGGCGCCTGGGTGGCTCAGTTGGTTAAGCCTCTGACTTGATTTTGGCTCAGGTCATGATCTCATGATTCGTGAGACCGAGCCCCGTGTTAGGCTCTGCACTGAGCCTACTTGGGATTGTCTCTCTCTCTCTCTGTTCCTCCCCCACTCATACTCTCTC